AGTGAACTAGTAAGTTGAAACAGGCGAGAATATCGTCTATACATCTATACCAAAAATGAATATGTTTTTACTCAGATCGGAGTTCACTATAGTGGTCTCCAAGTTGTTCATAAATATGTCTGCTAAAAGTGGACTAAGGGGTGAGCCCATTGGTAAACCTGAATCCTGTTTATAAAATTTGTTGTTGAACTGTAGGTAGCTCTGATTTAGGCACACAGCGAAAGCTGTTGAAACTTCAAAGGAAGTGATATGGTCCACTTTGGCTTGATCTAATATGTCTAAAATGAGGGGCTTACGCTCGTTGTACAGTATGTTGGAGACCATACTCTTTACATCGAATGAAACTAAAATTGAATTATGTGGCGTTGTTTGGTTTCTTATGTTTTCTACTAAAGTCAGTGAATGTTTAATGCTGAGAGGTGAAACGAAATTGGTAATATTTCTGAACAACTTGTTAAGACGTATTTCTAGTTCTCTCACTGGACTATTTATATACCGGTCTTATGGGGTTATACTCTTTATGTGTTTTTATCAGGCCATATAGTTTAGGGCAAGAGGCGTTCATGTTGATTCTCCGATTCTCCGTTTCTCTGATTCCGTGAAAATGATTTTAGTATTTAAGAGGAAATTTTTCAGTTCATTTTGACTATTTTTCGTCGGTTCTTTCTTGATGACAGTAAGGTTTTCATCTCGAATGACTGACTCAATTTTCTGAACATGTTTCTCGTTCAAGGATACCGATGACATTCGATTTATCAGCTTTCGTGGAAACAAGATCATTATTTCTTATTTTTTGTTGTATACTTTTTAATATGCCTGTTTCTCTACTGCTTGATAAAGAGAATGGATGGTTCTGAATTACTTCATCAAAGATAACGTCGACAAGTTGGATAAATCTGGAGTTTATAAGCTTAAGTGCCCGGAGTGTAATAGGGTTTATGTGGGACAATGTGGCCGAAATTTTCAAAAACGGTATGCTGAACATGAAAGGTCCTTCAGACTAGGAAATATGATTCGACGTTTTCAAATCATTGCTTGGCATGCAACCACAAGTTTCCGAATCTAAACGATACGGAAATTCTGCACTATGCAAGGAAGGGTTGCAAACTCAATTATTCAGAATCCTTGGAAATTCACAAGCATAAACATTGCGGGTGCAACCTGTTAAATGATCAAATCGATTTAATTAGTTAGATCCATGAATTTGATTATTTAATTACCTCGTGATTCCTAAATGGTCGAATAGAGCCCTGCATTACTGTAACAAAAAACAATGGTTACCTGACGCCCCTCCGTTTCAAGTCGATATCAGAACATGTTCATAAAACTTTTTATGAAGGGTGTCATCTGACTTGATAAACCCTTAATTCTGACCTGAATTTTTCGTAGTTTTTTTGATCGGAAATGTTCATATAATACTGAAAAGTCAAATTCCCTATGAAATTCCAAATCATCGTTCCCGAGGGTTTCGATGATTTGATGATCATTGGATAAATTTTATTTCTTGACTTATGTATCAAACAATTATGTTTGCCACTACGCTATTCGAATGAATAAAGCACTGAGTACTTGAAATTTGTCGATATCAACAAGCTTTATTCAGTATAAGAGAAGCTTTTTTTGTGCTACTTTCTTCTGACCGCCGCTTTGGTCAATGATTATTGATATGACCTATCAGTCAGGAGTCAATACGTAATAAAATATATGAATTGGTGTTTAAAGCTAATGAGTACTTTCAAAAGTTCTCAGGAATATAGCTTTTTGGCTTTCAACTTCTCCATCATTGAGAAAAAAATGTGGGAAACTTCCAAAAGAAGAAAGAACGGTGTGGGTGCGCGCGCGCGCGTGTGTGTGTGTGCGTGTGCGTGCGTGAGTGCGTGGGTGTGTAGACGTTTTTCACATGTTTTGTTCAATGACGGTGAATTAGTAAGACAAAAGCTTCTTCTCAAAAGTCAATCCTGAAAACTTCCCTCTTCAATTCAAAGAGAAGTTCTTGGCTTCGAACATATTGAAAAAATAAAATTAGGTTGATTTTTTCCAAATTCCAATTCGTATTCAGTGGTCCTGAGATGTGGTCTAATTTGTATTTTTTAGTGGTTCTGAGATGAGTGAACTAGTAAGTTCTAGAACAGTACAATTTCGAATATACTGGAGCGATTAAATTACGTATTATTATGTCAACATCAAGAAAGAAGGTACTATTTCAGCCGCAAGTCCTCAGTGAAACGTCCACTCCCGATCCATGTCAGCGCTGAGATGGAATGTTCCTTTACTATACAACCTTTTGCCGTCATTTTTGTATTTTTTGCCATCTGCACCGGAATAACTCAGAGCTACCACCGTGAAATTCATGCATAAAGGGTAATAAGGGGTACAAACTAGGAGCCAAAAACGGCTATTTTCTCCGATTATATTTTTTCTATAACCCTCTGACCTAAACTCTCACTTAGCAAGCCACGAATAATACTAGGCAGATGACATTTCCGAAGATAATCTTTTCTAATTCTCTCCAAAATGATAGAGTCAAATGTTGCATCTTTCACATACGCGCTCGATAACAAACCTTTCACGTTCGTTATCAGCATCTCTGTTCTTTAAATAAATATTTACATTAATTCTACGATGTTATCACATCGTCAAAAAAGCAAAGTCCACTCTGTGAATCATGAATAATATTTCCAAACTTCTGATCCTGAACTGTTTCCAAAGCTGTAGAAATGTTACATGTGTCCTCTACTAGATTACGGTACCGTTATCTAGTCTCCTCACTTAATCAATCAAAAGCAGAGCTTAGAAGCCTAGAAGATATTCAGAAAAGAGGCACCAAGTGGGTAGCGAGTTTATCTCACTTTCCTACGAGGAACATCTGGAACGTCAGAAAGTTCCTATTTTCAGCGAAAGTCGCATGGTGACCTGCTATACACCTATGACACAACTTCATTCACTTTAAATTCCGTCCTTTAGGCTATTTGGTTACACTTTCTGTCGAATAAATTATTTCACGACTGAATCGCCCTTCCAAATCATATTGAGAGCGTCTCATCCTTTAGGAACCGTAGTCCCAACTTCGTTAGTCCTTCTGAACAAGTGTCAATCCAGCTCAGGTACCACATCCTTCGTTCTACTGATTTTTTTGCAGCTTTTGTCGGTACCGTGTAAACTTTTTCATATATTTAGCACATTATTTCATACAATGTTTCTTTTTTTTTAATTAACTGATAAAT